ATAAAATATGTATTACTTATTACCAAATTTCTTTCTACACATAGCTCAATTAAAGGCTCCCCATTTACATTTACCCCTGGCACCCCAAATTTACCTATACTCCCTCCATAACATTTTACCCACTTTAGCATTGAAATCCCCAACCACCATTACTCTCACACTTGATTCAAAACTCCCCATGCATTCACTCAACATTTCCCAGAATCTCTCTCTCTCCTCTACACTTCTCTCTTCTCCAGGTGCATACACACTATAACCCACTTTTCACATCCAATCTTTATTTTACTCCACATAATCCTTGAATTTATACATTTGTAGTCCCTCTTTTCCTGCCATAACTTATCCTTCAACATTATTGCTACTCCTTCTTAAGCTCTAACTCTATTTGAAACCCCTGACCTAATCCCATTTATTCCGCTCCATTGAAACTCTCCCACCCCCTTCAGCTTTGTTTCACTTAAAGCCAGGACATCCAGTTTCTTCTCATTCATAACATCCACAATCATCTCTTTCTTATCATTTGCACAACATCCACGCACATTCAGACTTCCCACTTTGACAATTTCTCCTTCTTATTCTTTTTAGTAATCTTTACAGGAAAAGGGGTTACTAGCCCATTGTTCCTGGCATTTTAGTTGACTTTTACAACACGCATGGCTTACGGAGGAAAGATTCTTATTCCACTTCCCCATGGATATAAAAGGAAAAGTAATAAGACCAAGAACTATTAAGATAAAATCAAAGAAAACTCAGATGAGTGTGTATAAATAAACGTGTACATGTATGTGTAGTGTGACCTAAGTGTAAGTAGAAGTAGCAAGACATGCCTGTAATCTTGCATATTTATGAGACAGACAAAAGACACCAGCAATCCTACCATCATGTAAAACAATTACAGGCTTTCGTTTTACACTCACTTGGCAGGACAGTAGTACGTCCCTGGGTGGTTGCTGTCTACCAACCTACTACTTATTAATACATACACATTATAATTATTATTATTAATTTAGGGAACTGAAGCACAGATCTAATTCCGTAGATCAAGAGCCCATCACCACGTACATAATAATAATAATGATAATAATTATAATAATAATACAATGTAATAGTAATAATAATAATCATAATAATAGTAATAATAATAACAGTAAGGAGAAACTTCAAAAGGCTGCCAGTAGTTGGCACCACCATCACCAAAACATTGGTAACCACTTTTTCACCTGTCTAGACTTAGCAGTCTATAAGTACATGTATTAGGTTAAGTCTCCTGAAATGCCTCGGCATGATAGTGGCTTTCTTTGCTCCAATCATATTATGTGTAAACACACATTGTAACCTTAACAAAGAAATAAATATTTTATTTATTTATTTATTGAAGGAACCTCCCTTGAGGGGGAAGTTCGTATCCACAAGCAAAAAATCGACCAAACGACGGTTCGTATCCTGAAAAATTCGCATGGTGGGGCATTCGTAAGCCGAGGTTCCACTGTATGTGATAGTGAAAACACGTTACCTGGTATTTTAGACGCATTTGATAATGAAAAACCTCTCTTTTCCATCTACCAGTGATTTTCACGTGTTGTGTGGGGCCAGTAATCTAAGAGCTGTACAAACGGGGCCCTCCTGTACTTGCAGAATTAGATTATTATTATTATTATTATGCCTGACAGCACAGCTGGATCCATACACTTGCATCTCCCTTGTCTGAGTTCACAAGATTCGAACCTAAAGCATTAACACACATTATATTTCTTCATGGGGAACTGGGGAAGTATCCTCCTTCCATAAGCCATGCGTGTTCTAAGAGGCAATTAAAGTGCCAGGAGCAAGGGACTAGTAACCCTTCCTCCTAAATAAATTACTAAAGTAGATGATCAATTAACCCTTTCACTGTCTAAACCCCTGCTCACAAGCTTGCCTCTCAGTGTCGAAGAATTAAAAAAAAAAAAACTTATGAAATGATAGAGAATCTTTTCCCGATTGTAATGACACCAAAAATACGAAATTTGATGGAAAACTTACGGAATTGTGCTTCACGAATTTAGCAGTCTCGGCGACATTTACGTCTCGGCGCTTTCGCTCACTTTGAGCCCTATTTTCAGTCAATTCCACTGTTCCAGTTGACCAAACTCATAGCTATTTCACTAGAACTCCATTTATATCAATTTCAACTACCCAACAAAGTGATCAGAAATTGGTAATTTGGCCAATTTCACACACAATTCAAGTAAGGCCAATTTCATAACAGGGTCCACAATTAACAATATAAACATTCCTAGCAAAATAACATTTTCCCTGTTCATTAGTCATGTCTCCATGCCCCTCTTATACTATGCTTGCTTTCCATTTTGAATTTTCATTCACACAAAAAGCAGATGATTTACTGTTATGCAGACTACTGCATTATTGCAAAAATGGTATAAATAATATCAGCACATTTATGAAACCATATTAGACCCACCAGTTGACGTGTATTGGACGCGTGATGTCATCTGTTTACTCTTGAACATCGGCAAAAATCAAACATTTCCACTACTTTGAGTTCAATTTCAAGGTACTCTTAGTCTGTAAACCATTCAAAATCATCTCTATTTCTTTAAAATATCTTCCATTCTATCAAATGAGACCAAGAAAATGAGAATACAACCATAAATACCATACAAAAATACATCACAGTCATTGTTTTAAACCAAAAACATGGTCAAGGTTTTTTTTTTCCCTCATGCACTGCTTGCTGCAGGATTTTTTTTTATACTGCACACATTGACCACTCAGACCCATTCTCTCGTATATAGGCCTACCAACTCTCTTCTGCTAGATTGGAAACCGCTAGAATTTTGGCATAATATTACGGTACCAAGCCATAATATTACGGCGCTGACAGTGAAAGGGTTAAGACAGTGGTTAGGTTCCTGAAAATGCAGTGTTAGATGAATCTGTGTTAAAGGAACTGAAGAACTTATGGGAAAATACGGTTACGTTCCTGGGACCCCCAAAAAAGCTGAACAACTTTTTTTATAAGGACTCCAAATCTTACACAAATAAAATTGATAAGGCAATTGTTGTTCACTGTCAGTGTGTGGTTTTTCTGTTGTTCAAGGCTACAAATGCTCTACCGAATGTGTCCGCCTGCCCGCTCCCACACAAAGCATCCCATGCATTCTGAGTCAGTCTGGTTTTGTTTCTTGTCGAGTGAGCATTACCCTGTTCGTTCATCCAAAACATTTCATAATAATCCAGTGTTTTTTGTGCATGTTTATTGAGTGCAACTGCTAAATAAGCCACCATGGGGCCAAACTAAGATGAGAAACACGATAGAATTCAAGAAAGAACTTGCAGCAAAGTAAGGAGTTGGATGTGAGTGGCCAGGATGTGAAAGAGTTGGTGGACAACCACAGGAAAGAGCTAACTACTGAAAAGCTGCAACACCTTCAACTGGAACAGCAACAGATCACATCTGTTGAAACTGCTTCAGAGGAGAAGAAAGAGAGAGGGGAGAATGTGCCTTCTTCAGTGATTAAGGACATGTGTGCAAAGTGGAGCAAGTTGCAAAGTTTTGTGGAGAAATATTACCCTATCAAAGCTGTTGCAAGCCATGTCTGCAACATGGTCATTGACAATGCCTTTTCCCATTTTAGGCAAATCTTAAAGAGACACCAGAAACAGACCTCTCTGGTCAGATTTTTTGTGCGACAGGGGTCCAGTGCCAGTAAAAGACTAAAAAGGGAAGTAACCCACATAAGGACTTGATACCTGAAGTCCTTATGGAGGGGGATCCTCCTTCCAACCAATAACCTCTCCTCATCCCTCTCCCCTCCTTGCATCTTCCATATGCCAACAAGTCTTCAATAAAGGTAAAAGTGATACTAAATGTTCATTTATCCATTTCATTAGTCCTTTATATTTATTTCTCATTGTTTTCTGTATGTAAAACTATAGTTATTCTCTACAAAATGTATTTTTTGTTAATACTTATGGGTATCTAGAACAGATTAATTGGATTTACATTATTTCTTATGGGAAATATTGCTTCAGTTTTCGTCAAATTCAGTTTTTGTCAGTCTTTCTGAAACAAATTAATGACGAAAACTGAGGTTCCACTGTATCCCAAACCCCTCCTGTAAAGTGCAGGCATTGTACCTCCCACCTCCAGGACTCAAGTCCAGTTAACTGGTTTCCCTGAATCAATTCACAAAATATTGCCCTGCTCACACTCCAACAGCTCGTCAGGTCCCACAAACCATTCATCTCCATTCACTCCTATCTAACACGCTCACATGTGCCTGCTGCACATCCAGGCCCCTTGCACACAGAACCTCTCTTACCCCCTCCCTCCATCCTTTCCTAGGACAACGCTATTTTGCTCCATCCTCTCTAAATGCCCAAACCATCTCAATAACCCCTCTTCAGCCCTCTGAATAATACTTTTAGTAACTCCACACCTCCTAATTTCCACAATATGAATTCTCTGCCTAACATTTACACTACACATTGCCCTTAGACACGACATTTCCACTGCCTCCGGTCTCTTTCTTGTTGCAGCATTCACACCCATATAAGAGTGTTGGTACCACTATACTTTCGTACATTCCCTTCTTTGCCTCCGTGGTTAATGTGTTTTGTCTCCACAGATACTACAATGCACCACTCGCCTTTTTTCCTTCATCAATTCTATGGTTAAACTCATCCTTCATAAACCCATCTGCTGACAAATCTACTCCCAAATATGTGAACACATTCACTTCTTCCATACTCATTCCCTCCAATGTGATATCCAATTTTTCTTTACCTAACTTGTTTGATACCCCAATCATTTTACTCTTATCTATGTTCACTTTCGACTTTCTTGACACACCCTTGCAAACTCATCCCCTAACCTTTGCAACTTCTCTTTAGAACCTCCCAAAAGCATAGTATCATCAGTAACCATGTTAAATAATAGCAAGCTATAAAGTAACTATTAAAAATGTCATGAAATGACACCCAGTTATATAACCTACCTTAGATTAAATGTTATCACTCCAAGTGTTTGTGTTTTGGTTGAAGCGTACATGGTTGTCAATGATTTGGAAGAGTTCTGGAGGCTGGGGAATACGACCCGTTTCCAGTTTGGACCAAACAGGCACATCTGTAATGGTAATGTGTGAGAGTTACTATAACTGTCCAACTGAAATTACAATTATGGTAACAGGATGAAATATTTTTGGTATTAAAACCCAGTATAGTTGTACGAGCATGTAGGCTGTTGTTTAAAACATTAATAATTCAAATCTAAGCTAATGCCAGAATCTACTGCCAACTATTATTTTGAAGCAGAATCAGGTATTACATTTGCATTGTAAATATCCAGTTGCTGGTTGATAAAGTCTTTATTAAATAAACACAACTGTTCTTTCTTTGGTTCAAAACTATGGTATGACATATACAATAAAACATTAACAACTTAAATAGTGCATTCAGCTGTCCGAAACACAGGCAGAGCCTAATCTTTAATAAAGTAAATACCTCACTGATACAATGCAAATCACTGTAGATAAAAATTTTAATCAGTATATTTGACTTACCTATTACGTTATTTTTTTAAATAAAATTGTACTCAAAGATATGTGCAGTAGTAACTATCATGTGCCTATATACTGTACAGTAAGAAGTAATGCTCAATTCTGACACTTAGTACAATAAAAAAATAAATACTGCACTTCACAAGCAAATATAAAACTTCCTGTATGCATTTTCATAATTTACATAGAAAAGGAGATACATGTATAGTACAGTGGACCCCCGGTTCGCGAAGTCATCGGTATCTGATAAATCCGGTATCCGAAGCATTATATTGCAAAAAATTTGCCTCGGTTCCCGTTACAAAACCCGGTATGTGATACGATTCATACGAGACGTGTCCACGTGTGGCCTGAACTGCCCCGTGTGTTCCAGTGTTTACAAGCCAGCCAGTGTGCGTGCATCTAAGGATACATTCAATACATTCGGTACATTCCATATTTCGGTACATTCCATATTATCCATATTATCACTGTTTTTGGTGCTTGTTTCTGGAAAATAAGTCACCACGGGCCCCAAGAAAGCTTCTAGTGCCAACCCTGTGGTAAAAAGGGTGAGAATTAGTATGGAAATTAAGAAAGATTTTGAAGGGTTTGGGGCTAACCCTGAGAAGCCTATGCCAGTTGTGGCATCCATTGTGCCTACTTCAAAAATTAAGGAAATGTGTGCACAGTGGGTTGAACTGCAAACCTTTATGGATGAAAATCATCCTAACACAGCTATTGCAAGCCGTGCTGGTGACTATTACACTGATTATGTTGTGAACCACTTTAGGAAAGTCATAAAGGAACGAGAGGTACAGGCCTCTATGGACAGATATGTTGTGCGACAGAAGTCCAGTGACTCTCAAGCTGGCCCTAGTGGCATTAAAAGAAGAAGGGAAGTAACCCCAGAAAAGGACTTGCTACCTCAAGTCCTAATGGAGGGGGGATTCCCCTTCTAAACATTAAAAACTTCGACACTCTCCCCTCCTCCCATCCCATCAATCACCACCAGATCTTCATTAAAGGTAAGTGTCAATTATTCTATTGTGATTATTCTATTGTTATTATTGTTATTGTAATTATTCTATTGCATTAAACTTAATATTTCACGTGGTAAAAGTTTTTTTTTTTCATACTTTTCGGTGTCTTGCATGGATTAATTTGATTTCCATTATTTCTTATGGGGAAAATTGATTCGCTTTCCAATAATTTTGCTTTACGATGAGCTCTCAGGAACGGATTAATAACGTGAACCGGGGGTCCACTGTATTGATAAAGCCATAAATGGTAACAGTTTCAGCAAACAGGATATCAACAGTAAGATTATCCAGCATAAAAAAAAAAGTAAATGAACGTCTAGTCACTTTCTTATAAGATTTACACTTGTCAACTTACCATTAAAAGTAATTTCAAATGCACCTGTTGACACCAGTTGCCCCTCAACAGCATTACAAAGGAAGAATACCATCATACACGCATAAATCTTATTGGTGGTGAACCATGTCCACCATGAAGGCGTCTCCTGCCCAAGCCACTCCCACATGTTAATGTTAGCTACAATCATGACTATAAAGAGGAGTTTGGCACCACTCTGGTGAAAGGGAAAAATTAAAAAAAAAGTTATTATATAACCTATTTTTGAAATGCAAATCCACATTACTGTAATGCTAAACATCTTTTCCAATAAATCATAACATTCATTCATGTTACATGCTACTTCATTTGAATTAATGCTCTGGAATGAATTACACTACGCTACAAAAAAAAATCAGTTAAGAAAAAGCTTTCAGCATGGTTTTAAAAAGGCCTATCACTTCAAAGTCTACTAACCAGCATCTGCGCAAGCCAGAGTTTCCAATCTGGAGGTGGATAATTGTCTCCTAGAATGGATATTTCTGGGTATTTCTCACGCAAGATGTTGGCATACTGCTCAAACACCTTCCTGTAGCCTCACGAGTAGCTGTAATAGAAAACATACATACAGTAATTGCTTTGTTATAAATAGATTATGCATATATGTATCTCTGAGGAACTGAAGTGGAAATGGTGGGTATGTTTCCTTACGAGGAATTAAACAAGGAACCCCTGGCTATTTTTATTTGAAGATGTTTTGCCAACTAGTGACTTTTATCATTTCAATACAAAAGACTACACATATGTGAAGACAGTATAAGATGAGGTAATCAGTCCCTCAGGCTTACAGAAATATCCACAGAAGACAGTGGATGGCTCTTTATGTGTACCTTAAAGTCTGCCTGAAATGCACTGCATAACTCTGGGCTTTTCCATTTATGATAGACAAGAATAGTACAGTATATGGTAATACAGTACAGTGGAACTGCTGGTCACGAATGCTTTTGAACACAAACTGGTTCATGACCAAAAAATTTGCCAAATTTTTGCATCTGGTCATGAACACATAATCAGGTGCCGAAGAAACAGTCACACCAATTTTCACATTCCACGCCATTTTTTTGCACACGCCAATTTTCCACACTTCCTGTTGTTTGTGCACACCTAACAAAGACCCTCGCAGCACTCTGGTATAAGAATCATAAGTTTATTCAGATATACACAAATACAGTTACATAGATTATCATACACAGCATATGTGTAAAGAACCTAAGATAACCCCAAAAAAGTCAGAGTGACTTATTTTCTCAATTTTTTTTTTTCAGTGCTCGCTTGTTTTCGTCGATTATCTATGAAGTTATTCATAAATTACAGTAATTACGACCACAATAAATACAGATTAGCAATGTTTTATCAGCAGGTAGTGCACAAACAGCTTCTTGCAGTGCCAGTACCAAGCTAGGGCTTGCCATATATGATTTTTGGTAAATATTTCTTTTTATCTGTCGTTTGTTGAGCTATCTTATTGAAACTTGGGCAATGTACGATGGAAAGATGCTTCTTAACGTACACCAAAAATGAAATAAATTGGACAATAAATAATGGAGTTCACTTCTCAGCCAAAACCTCTTAAAAAAACTGTTTACAGCACGGGGTTCATAGGGAATCTAGAACAGACTCGTGCAATGTTAGTTTTCTCCGTTGTTCAAGGGCTTCTCAGTGTTATTCAAGGTTTTTACATTTAGTTTACTATTACACTGCATTCTATGGTATAATTAACTATTTTTGTGCTTAAAAAAAAATTTACATACAGTTAGTAGGGGTCTAGAATGGATTAATTGTATTTACAAATACAGTAATCCAATGGGGAAATTAGGTTCAGGTCATGATCAAATGGGTCGCAACCAGAGTTTTGGAACGAATTATGGTCATGACCAGAACTTCCACTGTACGTACTGTTTTATGAAAAATAAATTTTGTTTTTACTTTAGACATGTTGCCCCTCCTCACCTTGCAATATGCAGGATCCTGGGTGTTAGCTGATTGTAGGCTGCATCCTGGGGAGAAAAGGATTAAAGGACCCCCTGTGGAAGTAAGCCAGTCTGGTGACCGTGGTGTTATTAGGTTATCCAAGGACTACATTGGAAATAAGTAACTCTGACTTTTTTTGGGGTTATCCTAGGTAATTTACATATGTTACTATAGATGATAATGTGTAACTGTGTGTACACTTGTACCTAAATAAATTAACTCACCAACCTTCCAGGTTGGCGAGTAAGTTTATAAAACACATATACGTATGTACTAGTTTTGGAGACGTATTAAACTATTTAATACATCTCCAAAACTAGTACTATATGTATTTTATAGTCTATAGAAGTTTTAATTTAAATCTACCCAAAATGCTTATTGCAAAATCTGTATGACTTGCACGCTTTTTATGAGAATAATTTTATAGATTTTATTCAAATTACGTATTAACCCAGGGGGTTAGTAACCCCAGATAACTCAATAAAGTCAGGTTATCGAGAACTGCCTGTGCTGTTTGGGTCCTTTAACCCTTTGACTGTCGCGGTCGTATATATACGTCATGGGAGATACCGTGTTTGACGTATCTATACGCATAAATTCTAGCGGCTTCAAATCAAGCGGGAGAGGGCTGGTAGGCCTACACGAGAGAGAATGGGTCTCAGTGGTCGGTGTGCACCCTGTGAAAAAAATCTGGGACTCAGCGGTGCATTGTGGGAACGCCATCTTGGTAGTCCATTTTCACCATGCCTCGCGGTAAGAAGTTCCTCACTCCTCAGCGGATTGGAGGTCTTTTGTTCCCAAGTGATAGCTCAAACAGTGATGATAGTGTCAGTGAAAGTGAATTCCCTGGTTTTGAAGCGGGTGTGACCGAGAAAATTACCCAGGATAACATAATTAGTGATGAAAACCCACATGACCCACAACCTTCCACCTCTGGTGCTGGGCCGGCTCAGTCATGTTCACCTGTACCAGGACGAAAGAGGAAACTATTTGCCAGTGTACAAGACTCAGATGTGAGCAGTGAAAGTGATAGTGATAGTGATTTCAAGGTTATTGAAAGCAGTTCTAGTTGTGACAGTGAGGGTGAACATTCCCCAGTGAAGCGGCAGTATATATGACGTCGCATGCGGTCTGGTAGTGTGCCATATGCTCTTCCAAGAAAAAGGAGTACATCTCGGAGCACATCCCGTGGCCCTACACCACGTCCTGATAGTGAAGATGACGATATTGTTACGATGGGTATAAATGATGTGAGTGAGGCAGCAGGCGGTGGTGGTGATAGTGATGGTGGCATGAGTCATGTGACACCAGCAGCAGGCCACGCTACTACCCGCGCTGTTGACTCTGCACAACTACAACCAGCCTCGCCCGACCCCACACTCCCACAACCACAACCTGCACAACCACAACACATTACAATATCCAGAACGCACCAGCTGACCGCATCTGGGATTGGCAGCAAGATGACGAGTTTGTTCCCAATCCCCATGACTTTGATGGAGGACAAAGTGGAATACGGCCATCATGTACACTTGGGAACAATCCCACTGAACTGGAATGCTTTCAGTTGTTCTTCGATGAACCCCTGATGGACATTATTGTCATGGAAAGCAATACATACTATGAGTACACCATGGCAAACACTATTCTGTCACGAAGATCACGCCTACACCAGTGGAAGGACACAACTGTGGCAGAGATGTATCTGTTCTTTGCCATAATAATGCTTATGCCACATGTGTATAAGCATAGTGTCAACACATACTGGGCAATAGACCACCTGATTTCAACCCCTGCTTTCAGTGACATTATACCAGTGAATAGATTTGTGTTACTGTTACGTATGTTACACTTTTCAGACAAAACCAGGCCTGACAGAAGCGACAGGTTATATAAGATCAGACGTGTGTTTATGTACCTGAAACAAAAGTGCTGTATGTATTTTTATCCCTTCAGGAAGCTTGTTATTGACGAGTCTTTGATTTTGTTCAAAGGAAGACTCTCATTCAAGCAGTATATACCAAGCAAGAGGAAACGCTTTGGTATAAAGTTATTTGTTCTGTGTGATTGCAAAACTGGTCTGGTTTTGGATATAATTGTGTACACTGGCGGTAAAACAACGGAAGATACCAGGAAGTTACTGGGTATCTCTGGTGATGTGGTTAGAACAATGATGGAGCCATATCTTGGTAAGGGGCATATTTTATATACTGACAACTGGCACACAAGCCCTATACTCAGTGATTTCTTGCGAATGACGTGTGTGGCACAGTGCGTAGAAATCGTAAACACATGCCTAGGTTCGATGCTGGCAGTCGTAGAGGTGAAGTGCAGGTGTTTGCTGCTAATGACATCATGGCATTTCGGTGGCATGACAACCGTGATGTCACACTGCTGACATCAGTTCACCGACACAAAATGGTAGACACTGGCAAGCAGAATAGAGAGACCAATGAACCCATTGTAAAACCTGCAGCTGTGATGGATTACAACCTCAATATGCACTTAGTGGACAAATGTGACATGCAGATTGGGTTTGCTGACTGTGTTCGCAAGAGTTATAAGTGGTACATAAAACTGTTTTTCCATCTTCTTGACGTTTCCATGCTGAATGCTTATATGTATAAGTTGAAGACCAAGAAGAAACCCAAATATGGTGAATTTTGTTTGTCAGTCATCAGACAAATAATATTCAAGTACCAAGAAACAACACCTGCAATAGACCAGCGCCCACGAAATTATCAACACATGTCCTCTCGTCTGAGGCCTGGTGATCACTACCCCATACCACTGCCTGCTACTACTGCCAAGAAAAATGCTCAGAAGAGGTGTTTTGTCTGTGGACATGCCACAAAACGCCCACAAAAACGCAGAGACACTTGTTTTATGTGTGAGGAGTGTAAGACACCACTGTGCTTATACCCATGTTTCAAAGAATTCCACAAGCTGCAGCACTTCTAGAAAGTGTCCAGTGATTGTACATATGTACATATATTATAAAACAATCGTAATAAACATTTGTTTACATTGTTTGTGTAAACAAGTTTTAGCAACATTATAATGATACGAGTGTTTTTGCTATAATTGTGTTACATTCAACGAGTGTATATTTGAACATTGCACAATAATTTGGTCTCAGGCCACAAAAGTTATGTGAAAAATAAAATAGTGAAAAAAACAAGAAACCATCGAATACAAGTAAATCAAAGTTTACCGGGTGAGCGGCAGTCGCCGCTGTTGCCGCTCGCTGATCAATTTCAGCAAACTTCAGGACTCTATATCTCGGTAAGTACTGATGGGAAAAAATTTTTGGGGGGACTAAAACAATCAGAAAAATCTTAACATTTTCATAAGAAAAAATAATTTTTTTTTTCGAATATTTTGCGACACCAGGAGACACTTCAGGATTGGGCCCTTCGACAGTCAAAGCGTTAATCCTCTCTCCCAGGATGTGACCCACACTGGTAAGATAACACCCAGGTACAGTGGAACCTCGAGTTTCGGCCGCCCCAAGTTTCGACCATTTTGAGTTTTGGTCACATTCTTTGCCTAAATTTTGTCTCGAGTTTCGAACAG